GGGTAGGACGGAGCCTGTGTGGCCCTCGGAGGACTGAAGAACGAGGGCTGACGGCCAGTCCGGAAGACCGCTTGGCAGCCCTGCTGGCCATGGCTGTTTCTTCTCTCTGCTTCCCACATGCCTCCCCGGTGGCCCTCACCTGCATACCAACCCCTCCATTACTCACCTCGGGGCTGGCATGAACTGCTTCCCTGAGAGGACGTGAGAGGGTGGGGGAGGACCTCGTACCCTCTCCCACCCTGAAGTGTTTGGGCACCAGCGTGGGATGCACATGGATGGGAGAGCAAGGCGCCAGGATAGGCACTGTGCCCTGGGTACAGGCTCTACCTTCCTCCCCCAGGGGCCTGCCTAGTGCCAGTTTGGTGGTCCCCCTTTCTGGCCCCTTGGAGCCCACACACATTGCATCTTTTTCCCCTCTGACAGCAAGAAGAGACATGGCATGCTCTCTGGGACCCTGGAATCCTGGGTGCCTATGTGTGTGCCAGAGCCTGCCCCGCCTGGCAGATGTCCCACAGCGACAGAAGGAATCGTAGTTCTCTCTCTTTCCATCAGCCCTACCCTACCCTCATTCCCCTGACACCCTCTAGCTTGACCAAGGCTGAGCAGCGCCGGCATGCTTGGATGCCCAGCTGTGTCCAGAGGTGGCTTGGGACTGCCAGTTGCACGCCTGCCACCTCAGCCAGCCCCCGCCCAGCTCCCTAGTCTGAATGGAGTTGCCTTAAATTGGCAGGTGGTAGCGCGCTCACTGCCCTTGGAGCTGTGACCCGGCTCCTGCCTGTCCACTCCTTCCCGAGGTGGCTCCTGCTTATCTTATCATCCTAGGGTGCTGATTAGCCAGGCCTGGTCAGGATCCTGGGCACAGCACCCAGATATGCAGAGTCACCCTCACACTGGTGCCAGTCTGACCTCAGCTCCCGGAGGCTGGCATAGCCTCCCCATCCCTCCTTTTTGGCCCTGTGGCTCTGTCCACCTGATCCCAATACCAGCCTCCCCGATCCCCTGCCACCCCAGATGGCGGCCACGACAGGGAGAGGTGTAGATGCCACCGTCTGAGGTAGAGGAACAGGGAACAGGGGCAGGCTCTGACGCTGAGAGGCTTGCCTCTGGGGGCTGGCAGCCTGAGTGGCATGGCTCCTGAAGAAGGCACCCCTCTGTGTCCCCCAGGTCTCCTCAGCACTGGGCTGATCTTGAATGGCACAGGCCAAGGGGAGGCCAGCCTCGCCTTTCTATCTAGGCCCCCTACCCTGCCCACCTCAGGCCCCCGCCCTCCACTCTCCCCATGGTACTGTGAACGTCCTGTGACTCAGCGCAGAGACAGATAATATATTTAATTCATGTTGTACAGAAAGGAATGAGCGGTCTTGTACAGAAAAGCTGATTTTGATAGATTGATGCCAAAGTCGGAGAAGCGAAGGCCCCTCTCCAGGCCTAATGAGTGTGGGTGGGGCGTGCTTGAGTGTATGCGTGTGTGTACATATATATACATATATATATTTAGTGAGAAGAGAGTTTGGTTTGTGTGTATCTCTGATCTCCCTCGCACCCCAGGCTGTATCCAGCATCCGTCCTGCTGTATCCTGGGTACTGCTGTTTTGACCCAGAAGTTGGCTCTTGCTGAGGAGCATCAATGGTGTTTGTGGGTGGGCAGAGGAGCCCCAGGCCTGGGATTGACCCAAGTTGGTGCCTGTGGGGTGGGGCTAGCCAGGAGAGCAAAGAGGGACTCCTGGGCGGGGGTCTGGGGTCTGGCCATGCAGCTGATACCTGGGCACCGAATGGCCCCCTGGCTTCTGGGGAGGGAGGGAGGCAAGATCAAGGTGGGGTTGACATGGAGTTCGCCAAGGCCGGCACAGCAGGATGAGGGTGTGGGCCTTGCTGTAATTCAGGCCCTTCGAGAATTGCTGCAGACCTCCAATCCACCTCCTGCTGCTGCCCTGACCACCTCCCTGCCTTGGATCTAGACACAACCCCCCATCACACACAGGTCCCAAAGTGCTCAGAATCCTGCTGTTGTCCAATTCAGCATCCAGGCTTATTCCTCCTGAGACCACTCGGAGAATGCCAGGTCCCAAACCCTGCCCCCGACCTATTCTCATGCCTGGCTTAAGCACTCTGCATTTCGCCGGCATGGTTTGCAGTTACTGGAGACGGTGTCTGCCTTCCAGAGGAGGAGGCCAATGCTGAGGCTGATGCTGCCCTCCAAGGCTCTAGAAATAAGGGGTGGGCCAGAGCTCCATTCTCAGCCCATCACCAGTTCTACCGAGCAAGACCTCTCTGCTGTAGGCAGCCAGACACCAAAGCAGGATCGCAACTCAGACAATTAGTGCTTGAAGGGAGGAGAGGGACTGGGAAATGCATTGGTGGGAATTGGAAGCCAGACATTTATTAAGCTCCCTGCTGGATGCCAGGCAGCCCTGTGCCCAGGCATTGTCTCACTGAATCACAGCAACCCCCTTTCTCCCCACTTTGCAGATGAGGACATTATCCTCCCAGGGGTTGCCTGGGGTCACATACCAAATTAGAATCCCAGGTGTCTGCCCCCCAGTCCTGTGGTCTTCAGGGAGTGGGAGGCGTGGGGAGGGCGAGGTGGAGACAGTGTAGAGGCCCGAGAGGGAGGAAAACACACAGGAAGGGCATGGGCAGATGCTGCTTTGAGGAGCACCTTGCAAGGCCACCCTTGTGGCAGGCAGAGGTGGCCCGGCCCGGCTCCTGCATCTTGAGGAGTCTCTGGGGGGAACTGTCCTTGCTGCTGCAGCTTGGCCCTGCTGGGAGGCACACACCTAGGGCTTCTGACATCGGGCCCTCCGAGCCACTGCCCTAGAAAACTATCAGGGCTGGGGGTGCGGGCCAGCCTGGGGGTGTGGGACTCAGCTGGACAGGCTCACACCAGGCCTTGAATATGGTTGGTACTCAAAAAGTGATGGCTCCGGAGAAGGAACCTGAGTGTGAAGAGGGGCTGAGTGATTTTGGTCATGAGCTGCCACTGGGCTCCCAGGGACCAGGCTGAGCTACAACGCAACCCAACGTTTCCTGGGAGCCCTCGGTTTCCTGGGCACCCCTGCAATCATTTCCTTATGCTGGTGACTCAAAAACAGGAGCCAGCCCCATTCTGCTGGAATCCCTGACCCAAAGCAGGCTTTTGCAAGTCATTTCCCCCTCTGGCCTCACTTTTGCCATCTGCCTGCTTCTGGGACAGGTCAGGAACATCCAGGGTGCAGATGCCTTCCCCTCCACTATGGCCACGGGGCAGGGACATTTGAGATTTGCTGCAGCCCTGCAGCTTCAGACAAAAGGTCCTATTTGATGACGTCTACAGGGTGGGGGTGATATCGGCTCCCGTGCTTGGCACTGCCCACATCATCTTGAACCCCGGTGGAACCTGGAGTTGGCTCTCCTCTGCCCGCCGTACTGTGGGCTCCCAATCACCCTGCCCTACTGTCTGGGTCCAGTGGTCAGGGATGATATATAATAGGCCACCACTCCTCTACCATGCTAGGCTCCCTGAACCAGCCAAGTGTCAGGCGCTGTTGCATGCCTGCCCCTTCCCTCCCTCCTTGAAACATCCCAGCCTCCTTTGGGCCATCTCTCCACCTCTATCTCTGCTTGGACCCTTGTTTCTGGCTGTGACACTTTACAAAACCCCCATGAGCCCCTGTATCTCTAGAGCGAATCATCAGCCCCATGAATTGGCCACAGCCTCCTCCATGTCTGGCCCTGTGCTGGACATTAGGACACCAAGATGCATGACATTCCACCCCTGCCTTCCAGAAGCTCAGACCTGCTGGCAGAGATGGCCTTGATTTCAACAGATTTTATCAAGAACCCACTGTCCACCTGGCGCTCTGCTAGGCACTGAGGATACACCCATGATGGCCAAGATGGCCAAACCCTATTCTTATAGAGCTTATGTGCTAGTGGAAGGTATAAGACGTTATCCAAATAAACAGGCATGTCAAGGGGTCATAAGTGTGATGAGACAAAATAAGGCAGGGGCAGGGTGGTGGCAGGGGAGAGGAATGTGATGGCATAGGGCAGGGGACTGCCTGGTCAGGGATGGACCTCTCCATCAGAAGTAAGCTATGGGCTGGGGGTGGCGGCTCACATCTGTAATTCTGGCACTTTGGGATGGCAAGGCAGGCAGATTGCTTGAGCTCAGGAGTTTGAGATCAGCCTAGGCAACATAGTGAGACCCCGTCTCTATAATAAATAAATAAATAAAAAATTAGCTGGGTGTGGTGGCTGATGCCTGTAGTCTCAGCTACTCAGGAGGCTGAGGTAGGAGAATCACCTAAGCCCAGATCGAGGCCACAGTGAACAGTGATCATGCCACTACCATCCAGCCTGGGCAATGGAGTGAGACCCTGTATCAAAAAAA